AGCAATTCGTTTTAATTTATCACTTTGTTTTAATGAAATATTTTCTTTTGATTCAACATTAACTTTATCATCAGTTACAGTTTTTTGTCCTAAATTAAAAAATAATAATAAAAACAAAAAGAATAAAAATATTTATTCATACCTTGTAAAAGAGCTGAAAGAATAAATTTATGAAAATCATTTAATGATGGTATTGTATTATTAACATCAACAAATGATAAAAATTTTCTTCCTTCTTTATCAGCTTCTTTAACAATTGACATAACATAATTACGAATTTCATTTCGTTTAAGATTATTATCTTTTAGTTCGGGATATTCATCAACTAAACATCGAGTTAATTCAACTTTTAAATAATCATCTTCGAATATTTTTTTATTTCTAAAAAGAAATCGTTTTTTTTAACTGAATCTTGTTTGTTTTTTTCGTTTTTGTTACTTAGTATTAATTTCTTCATAAGCAAATGCAATAAGATCAGCAGCTAATCCCGTTCCTTTAAATACGACAATAGGAATTTCTTGTTGAATTTTTCGATAGACAAGTTCAATTGTTTCTGGTGTACCATGAACTAAGGTACATACCATTGGAAAACCATCTTCACTCAATAAATTAGATTTATTTATTAGTAGCGGCTGACAATCTAAACAAATCAATTAATTTTTTCCTTTTTATTCAAGTTATTTTTATACGGGTTGTTAGTGATGGTAATTTGATAGGAGTTATATCTTGTTGTTGTAATGCTTCTTGATGTAAAAAAGCTTCAAAACGATTGCGAAATTTATTTGTAACATTTTCAGTTGAATCAGTTATTTTTTCTAACAGTTTATTGTCAGTATCGATTGTTGTAGGTTTTGTTTCTGAAATATTTGTCGAACTAGAACCAATTGGTGATTTACGAATTATTATAAAATGTGTATGATCACTGTTTAATGATAATTTTGCATGTTCATTTTGTGGTACTTTTATTTCCTATTGAAAAATAGAATAAAAATGAAATAGAACTATAAAATGAAATTGTCTTTTTAACCATTTTTAATTTGTCTTCTACTGAATGGAAATGAATAGAGTCTTTAATATCATCATCACAAACAATTCCAATTAAAACTAATTTTTTATGTTCTTTCGGTTCTCGATCCATCTGTTTCGCCCATGTATCATCAGCTCGTCGTAATAACTATATTTAAACAAAGTAATTTTTTTAAAAATGTATCAAAGAAACTTCATACAATTTCATCTCGAAAAGTTGATCCAATTACTTTTGGCATACCAATATCAATACCATTTGTTATAAACCATACTTCAGATACATTGACGACCTAAATTAATCAATATTTTCAGTTTTATTTTCTTCTAAATATAGAGAGGTGTTTGCAAAAAGACAAACTTGCACAAAAATAGAGTTTTGTTTAGTGATCACCTTTTTCGATTGTTCATTGTTGTCAGGTAGAAAACGTTTGTTTTTTGTTTTGGATATATCGTTATTGACTCTTTTAATCAGTTGTTATCTATTCAAATTTGTTTATTGAAGCAAACCTGTGCTTTTATTGAACACTGTACAGTGCGAAATAAAGATTTGCATCGGAACTTTCCCTTCATATTATTAATAAAATCAAACCATTTAATTTAGTTAAGTATCGAAGGAAAATCGCTCGATGATATACCCTCATTACTAAGGATACATAGAAGTTGCTGATGAATATGTTTGTCGTAATAATTAGATATTACTTATGCTAAATTTTGAGAAAAACAACATTTTACAACATGATCGCAACCTCATAATATAATCAGTAATATAAGATGTTCAGAAAATAACTGAACGAAAAAAAACTATTTGAATATCTTCGGTATATTTCGACCATATGGATTGATATCATTATCCTCAATCAAATAGTACTTATAGTTTATATTCATAAGAGAAACAATATTAAAAATTATTTTGAAATATGTACAAGTAACTTTAAGAAATAATTGTAATCTTTCACAATTTATTAAAAAAACAATATATTTATTCCTTGAGCCAAGATTGAACGACATCCAATTTTTTTTTTGATTTATTCTTCACACTAGTATTGCTTAGACTCATACTTATACTACAGATGCATCTCTTCTTACTTAGGGTACTCTGAAAGTTTCAGCCATAAGCAGCAAGGATTTTTTGAGAAAATTACAAGATTACTTCTTCGTAACTCATGAAATGTGACAAATCTTTGTGGAAGTCAATTATACTACTTAAAAATAATTTATGAAAACGTTTTTCTTATGAACATTCCTTTATTAGCGCTAAAAATATCAATCCATATAACGAAGATATTCAAACTTTTCTTTATTTAGTTATTTTCTGGACGCTCTAATTATTGATAAACAATTTAT